TCGATGTCAAAGGCAGATTAGCTACTCTTCGCCGGCTCCTTACCAGGCACCCCGATCTCCTTTTCTTTCTACTGCGAATGACAGGGATGAGGTGTCTGGAGCAAATCCCTCTCGTCCAACTCATTAAAGAAAAAGTATTTGTCCTGTTCAAGGTGAGTAATCGCTGTTCTGATGTCCAGAAGCTCTTTTCGGTCATAAGAGATGGTAGCAGCAACATTATGTACAAAATAAGTTACAAACAATGCAAACAAACACACACAATAGCACGGTTGGTTAAGAGTCCATAAAACGGCAGCCCCAACACCTCACACAGGAGCAACAGAGCAACGGACACACCGCCCAGACCAGACCAAACACTCTCTCAGACCTGCAGGACCCCCTCCCCCCCGGACCTACACATAGAGGACCCACACCGATAGGACCTACATCCAGACCACATCATCACCAGCCACATTCACACACCCACCCACCCCAAGTCAACCATGACCACACCCCATTTAGGCCCCCTCAGATCAGATCTATGCCCCTCCCACCGCCCAGACCTGCGGGACAAACACCTACCTGGAAGTGACAGCATTCCCTCCCCCATATGCCCCCCTAGACACAACTACAACAAAACAACCAATGTTAATGGACAATGGTAGGCTTCAAGGGGACTCCTACGGTAGGTACAGCTCATCCCTTGGCAGCAGTACTGAAGATTACTTTATCACAGACCTCAACCCATAAGTCTCTCAGAGCATTCACAGTCAGAACCACTGACACCACAGCCAAATCACAGCCTACTTGAACAGAGCAATACCCAACCATGAGGCATCAAAGCCCAACAAACTGCATGCTATTAAGGAATGCTATAGATGGAAGGAAGATCCAATCCCTCCTAGATAACTTCCTGGGCAAAATGTTTCCCTGCAATAGTGAAGGTGTAAACTTAGCAGTAGAAAGCCTGAACATTATATTTATCATATCAAATGTAAAAAATTCAAGCAGAACAGTAAATCCTCTGCAGTATCATCAACAGCAGACTCTAACATTTCCTCAGTGAAAACAATGTCCTGAGCAAATGTCAAATGGCCTTTTTACCAAAATATCATACAACAAACCACGTACACACCCTACAAACCCTTATTGACAAACAAACAAAACAAAACCAAAGCAAAGTCTTCTCATTGTTTGTTGATTTAGAAAAAGCTTTTGACTCAATTTGGTATGAGGGCCTGTTGTATAAAATGATGGAAAGCGTTTTTCTGGGGGAAAACCTACGATATTATAAAATAAATGTACACAAACAATAAGTGTACGCTCAAAATTGGCAATAAACGCACAGATTTCTTCCCTCAGGGCTGGGGGTGAGACAGGGATGCAGCTTGAGCCCCACCCTCTTCAAGATTTATATCAATGACTAGAATAGTCTGCAGCACACGACCTCACCCTACTAGACTCTGAAATCAAATGTCTACTGTTTGCAGATTATCTGGTGCTTCTGTCCCCAACCAAGGAGAGCCTACAACAGCATCTAAATCTTCTGCACAGATTCTGTCAGACTTGGGCCCTGACAGTGAATCTCAGTAAGACAAAAAAATAATGGTGTTCCAAAAAAGGTCCAGTTGCCAGGACACCGTTGCCTTAGAGCACATAAAGAATTACACATACCTCGGCCTAAACATCAGCACCACAGGTAACTTCCACAAGGCTATGAACAATATGAGACACAAGGTAAGAAGGGCCTTCTACGCCATCAAAAGGAACATACAATTTGACATCCCAATTACGATCTGTCAAAAAATAATCTAATCAGTTATAGAACCGATTGCCTTTTATGGTTGTGAGGTTTGTGGTCCACTCACCAACCCAAAAAAACATCTTCAGAATATGAAGAAAACCCCAAAATAATGCATGCAGAGCAAAATTAGGACTATACCCACTAATTATCAAAATCCAGAAAATAGCTGTTAAATTCCACAACCACCTAAAGGAAAGCTATGCCCAAACCTTCCATCACAAAGCCCTAACCTGCAAGGACATGAACCAAGCCAGCTGGTTCAGGCACTTTGTTCACAAACACAAACACCCCACAGAACCCCAGGACAGCAACACAATTAGACCCAACCAACCAAATTATGAGAAAACAAAAAGAGAACTAGTTGACACACTAGAAAGAATCAACCAGGAAACTGAGCAAATTTGAATGCTACCTTGCACTTAACAGAGCGTACACAGTGGCAGAATACTTGACCAATGTGAGTGACCCAAAACTAAGAAAAGCCTTGACTATTTACGGCCGTAGGCAGACCTGGCTCACAAAATGAGGTGGAAACTGAGCTGCACTTCCTAACCTCCTGCCAAGTGTATGACCATATTAGAGACACATACAGTTGAAGTCGGAGGTTTACTTACACCATAGCCAAATACATTTAAACTCAGTTTTTCACAATTCCTGACATTTCATCCTAGTAAAAATTCCCTGTCTTAGGTCAGTTTGGATCACCACTTTATTTTAAGAATATAAAATGTCAGAATAATAGTATAGAGAATGATTTATTTTCTGCTTTCATCACATTCCCACTGGGTCAGAAGTTTACATACACTCAATTAGTATTTGGTAGCATTGCCTTTAAATTGTTTAACTTAGCCTTCCACAAGCTTCCCACAATAAGTTTGGTGAATTTTGGCCCATTCCTCCTGACAGAGCTGGTGTAACTGAGTCAGGTTTGTAGGCCTCCTTGCTCGCACACACTTTTTCAGTTCTGCCCACACATTTTCTATAGGATTGAGGTCAGGGCTTTGTGATGGCCACTCCAGTACCTTGATTTTGTTGTCCTTAAGCCATTTTGCCACAACTTTGGAAGTATGCTTGGGGTCATTGTCCATTTGGAAGACCCATTTGCGACCAAGCTTTAACTTCCTGACTGATGTCTTGAGATGTTGCTTCAATAATTCCTCATGATGCCATCTATTTTGTGAAGTGCACCAGTCCCTCCTGCAGCAAAGCACTCCCACAGCATGATGCTGCCACCCCCGTGCTTCACAGTTGGGATGGTGTTCTTCGGCTTGCAAGCAACCCCCTTTTTCCTCCAAACATAACGATGGTCATTATGGCCAAACAGTTCTATTTTTGTTTCATCAGACCAGAGGACATTTCTCCAAAAAGTACAAGCTTTGTCCCCATGTGCAGTTGCAAACCGTAGTCTGGCTTTTTTATGGCGGTTTTGGAGCAGTGGTTTCTTCCTTGCTGAGCGGCCTTTCAGGTAATGTCGATATAGGACTTGTTTTACTGTGGATATAGATACTTTTGTACCTGTTTCCTCCAGCATCTTCACAAGGTCCTTTGCTGTTGTTCTGGGATTGATTTGCACTTTTCGCACCAAAGTACGTTCATCTCTAGGAGACAGAACGCGTCTCCTTCCTGAGCAGTATGACGGCTGTGTGGTCCCATGGTGTTTATACTAGCGTACTGTTGTTTGTACAGATGAATGTGGTACCTTCAGGCATTTGGAAATTGCTCCCAAGGATGAACCAGACTTGTGGAGGTCTACACTTTTCTTTCTGAGGTCTTGGCTGATTTCTTTTGATTTTCCCATGATGCCAAGCAAAGAGGCACTGAGTTTGAAGGTAGGCCTTGAAATACATCCACAGGTACACCTCCAATTGAGTCAAATGATGTCAATTAGCCTATCAGAAGCTTCTAAAGCCATTACATCATTTTCTGGAAGTTTAAAGGCACAGTCAATTTAGTGTATGTAAACTTCTGACCCACTGGAATTGTGATACAGTAAATTATAAGTGAAATAATCTGTCTGTAAACAATTGTTGGAACAATTACTTGTGTCATGCACAAAGTAGATAACCAACTTGCCAAAACTAGAGTTTGTTAACAATACATTTGTGGAGTGGTTGAAAAACGAGTTTTAATGACTCCAACCTAAGTGTATGTAAACTTCTGACTTCAACTGTATTTCCCTCAAATTACACAAACCCACAAAGAATTAGAACAGAATTTTGACAAACTCCCGTATCTGTTAGGTGAAACATTGCAGTGTGCAATCCCAGCAGCAAAATTTGTGACCTGCTGCCACAAGAAAAGGTCAACCAGTAGGTCAGAAACACCAATGTAATATAACCATGATTCGTACATTCTACTAGTTGCACATTGTAACAACACTGGACATAGCTGATGTAACATTTTAAATGTTATTCTACATTTACTGCTAATAATATAGTATTTTAAAAGTTGTTATTCTCTTAAAATTTTGTGTGTAATGTTTGTGTCTGATTGTCTTTAACAATGTAAACACGTTTCCCATGCTAATAAAGCCCCTTTGAATTTAATTGAATTTAATTGAATTGAGAGAGAGATGGAGTTCAGAGGCGGGTAGAAAGGGAGGGGCAGAGGATATATAGGAAGAGAGAGGGAATCATCCTCTTCTGACCACTCTTTCTATAATAATAATAATAATAATAATAATAACTCTCTCTCTCTGCAGGCACAGAAATAGACAGGGCTCTCTCTCTCTCTGTTCTTTCTGGCCATGTGAAGGAGAGATGGAGGCCTGGGCCTGTTATGTAACACTGTATAGAGATGTACAGCTGCTCCTCATTCAGCTGGGCAGTCAGGCGAAAGAGATGGAGAGAGGGAGAGAGAGAGAGAGAGAGGGGGAGAGAGAGAGAGAGAGAGAGAGAGAGAGAGAGAGAGAGAGAGAGAGAGAGAGAGAGAGAGAGAGAGAGAGAGAAAAGTGGAGGGAGTGTTTTAATCAGGGCTTAGTGAGGACTGCTGATTCCCTCATAAATGTTTTAATGAAGCAATACATAAATGAATGAATGAATGAATTTCATTCTATGGAACCCAAGAATCCCTGGAAAACAGCAGCAATTGTTACTGATTGGACTATACTGGCTAAATGAATGAATGAATGAAATAATGAAGTCTCGGTGTGAATTACAATTCAATGTATTGAATATTTGGATGCAATGGTCACAGTTAGATCACAATCACAGACAACATGTGCAGTCTGCAGTTGCATGGTGTGTGTGTGTGTGTGTGTGTGTGTGTGTGTGTGTGTAATGTTTGTGTCTCTGTTGTGTCTAGCAGTACCAGGACAGTAACATGCAGAACGTGGTGGATGGTGTGTGTGTGTGTGTGTGTGTGTGTGTGTGTGTGTGTGTGTGTGTGTGTGTAATGTTTGTGTTTCTCTTGTGTCTAGCAGTACCAGGACAGTAACATGCAGAACGTGGTGGATGGTGTGTGTGTGTGTGTGTGTGTGTGTGTGTGTGTGTGTGTGTGTGTGTGTGTGTGTGTAATGTGTGTGTTTTCTTGTGTCTAGCAGTACCAGGACAGTAACATGCAGAACGTGGTGGATGGTGTGTGTGTGTGTGTGTGTGTGTGGTGTGTGTGTGTGTGTGTGTGTGTGTGTGTGTGTGTGTGTGTGTGTGTAATGTTTGTGTTTCTCTTGTGTCTAGCAGTACCAGGACAGTAACATGCAGAAACGTGGTGGATGGTGTGTGTGTGTGTGTGTGTGTGTGTGTGTGTGTGTGTGTGTGTGTGTGTGGTGTGTGTAATGTTTGTGTTTCTCTTGTGTCTAGCAGTACCAGGACAGTAACATGCAGAACGTGGTGGATGGTGTGTGTGTGTGTGTGTGTGTGTGTGTGTGTGTGTGTGTGTGTGTGTGTGTGTGTGTGTAATGTGTGTGTTTCTCTTGTGTCTAGCAGTACCAGGACAGTAACATGCAGAACGTGGTGGATGGTGTGTGTGTGTGTGTGTGGTGTGTGTGTGTGTGTGTGTGTGTGTGTGTAATGTTTGTGTTTCTCTTGTGTCTAGCAGTACCAGGACAGTAACATGCAGAACGTGGTGGATGGTGTGTGTGTGTGTGTGTGTAATGTTTGTGTTTCTCTTGTGTCTAGCAGTACCAGGACAGTAACATGCAGAACGTGGTGGATGGTGTGTGTGTGTGTGTGTGTGTGTGTGTGTGTGTGTGTGTGTGTGTGTGTGTGTGTGTGTGTGTGTGTGTGTGTAATGTTTGTGTTTCTCTTGTGTCTAGCAGTACCAGGACAGTAACATGCAGAACGTGGTGGATGGTGTGTGTGTGTGTGTGTGTGTGTGTGTGTATCTAGCAGTACCAGGACAGTAACATGCAGAACGTGGTGGATGGTGTGTGTGTGTGTGTGTGTGTGTGTGTGTGTGTATCTAGCAGTACCAGGACAGTAACATGCAGAACGTGGTGGATGGTGTGTGTGTGTGTGTGTGTGTGTGTGTGTGTGTGTGTGTGTGTGTGTGTGTGTCTAGCAGTACCAGGACAGTAACATGCAGAACGTGGTGGATGGTGTGTGTGTGTGTGTGTGTGTGTGTGTGTGTGTGTGTGTGTCTAGCAGTACCAGGACAGTAACATGCAGAACGTGGTGGATGGTGTGTGTGTGTGTGTGTGTGTGTGTGTAATGTGTGTGTCTCTGTTGTGTCTAGCAGTACCAGGACAGTAACATGCAGAACGTGGTGGATGGTGTGTGTGTGTGTGTGTGTGTGTCTAGCAGTACCAGGACAGTAACATGCAGAACGTGGTGGATGGTGTGTGTGTGTGTGTGTGTCTAGCAGTACCAGGACAGTAACATGCAGAACGTGGTGGATGTTTCTCTTGTGTCTAGCAGTACCAGGACAGTAACATGCAGAACGTGGTGGATGACCTCACCAGTTATCTGGAACATCGTCTGGACCCTGGGGGAGACAACAAGCTGCTGCTATATGACTTGTGCACCGTCATCAAAACAGGTGGGTAACACACACACACACTCACACTCTCACACTCACACACTCACCAACAACACTCACACTCCACACACTCAACACACACACACCTCACCTCACACACTCACACACTCACACACCACCACACACAACACACACAACTCACACACACACCACAAACACTAACACACACACCACACACACACATACACCAACACAAACACACAACCACAACACTCACACTCACCACACACACACAAAAACACAAAGCACACACACTCACACTCACACACTCAACACACAACTACACCACACCCCACCACTCACACCACACACACACACTCACAACACACACCACACACACACATTACACACACACACACACTCACACTCACACACACCACCACACACCACAGCACGTCACACTCACCACCACACACACCATCACACACACCACACACACTCACACAAACACACACTCACACTCACACACTCACACACTCAGCACACTCACACACTTCACACCACTCCACCACACCACACTCACCACACACACTCACACTCACACTGAACACAAACACACAAACAATCACACTCACACTCACACTAACACGCACACACACACACAACTCATCACCACTCCACACTCAACACACACACACACACACACACTTCACACACTCACACTAAGCACACACAACTCACACACTCACACTCACACACTCACACACCACACTCACACACACACACACACACACACTCACACATCACACAGCACACTCACCACTCACAACACACACTACACCACTCACACCACACACACTCACACTCCACACACTCACACACTCACACCTACACAAACATCACACACACACACAGCAACACTCACACTCACACTCACACTCACACTCACACTCACACAACACACACTCACACTCATACAACACCACACACACCACACACACACACCACACCCACACACACACAGCACCACACACACCACTCACACACACACACACACACACACACACACTCACACACACACACACAGCACACACACACACACTACCGTTCAAAAGTTTGGGGTCACTTAGAAATGTCCTTGTTGTTGAAAGAAAAGCAATTTTTTTCGCCCCATTAAAAGAACATCAAATTGATCAGAAATACAGTGTAGGCATTGTTCATGTTGTAAATGGCTATTGTAGCTGGAAACGGCTGATTTTTTTATGGAATATCTACATAGGCGTACAGAGGCCCATTATCAGCAACCATCAGTCCTGTGTTCCAATGGCACGTTGTGTTTGCTAATCCAAGTTTAGCATTTTAAAATGCTAATTGATCGTTAGAAAACCCTTTTGCAATTATTAGCCTGGTCCCAGATCTGTTTGTCATCTTTCTAACTCCAATGGTCTTTTTTTTTTTGACAGCAACCATAGGAGTTGGCTAGATAGCCTGGTCCCAGATCCAGTTTGGTTTTGTGCTGTAATAGTCATTGTTCACCATAGGAGTTGACTAGACGGCACAAACAGATCTGGGACCAGGCTAAGCTGACACTAACCATACTGTATATTATATAATTATCAGTCTGCTCCCATAGCTACCCTTCAATCGCTCTTCAGTCCCTTCCCTTCCCATACCATTGGTCATTTGGTTTGGTTGATGACCCATATTTCACATAGCTTAGAAGTCTACTGGGACCATGGTGTCTGCTGTGTGTGTCTGACCAAGTGTTCCTGTCTGTGGCAGAGCTGTGTGTGTTGTGTGTTGTGTGTGTGTGTGTGTGTGTGTGTGTGTGTGTGTGTGCAGGCAGGCGTACGTGCGGGTAGAAGACTGTGACATTGCCGCAGTGCCCTGATGAGGCGTGGGAGGATCGGATGTGACAGGCTGTGCACTGCTCGCCCTGCGCTCCGCCACACATAACACACACCGTACACAACGCACACACCGTACACAACGCACACACCGTACACAACGCACACACCGTACACCAACCGTAACAACCACACCGTACCAACGCACACACCGTACCACAACACCCACAACCGACACAACGCCACACCGTACACAACACACACACCGTACACAACACACACACCGTACACAACGCACACACCGTACACAACGCACACACCGTACACAACACACACACCGTACACAACGCACACACCGTACACAACACACACACCGTACACAACGCACACACCGTACACAACACACACACCGTACACAACACACACACCGTACACAACGCACACACCGTACACAACGCACACACCGTACACAACGCACACACCGTACACAACACACACACCGTACACAACGCACACACCGTACACAACACACACACCGTACACAACGCACACACAGCAGATACTGTACACAACACCATCTGTGTAACTACAGATTGTAACTTTTTTCTTATCTCCTTGTCTTTAATCAGCCACGAAAGCAGATGGATTTGCACTTTACTTCATGGGAGAATGCAACAATGTGAGTGAACCACATACAATATCTTCTGGCGATGAGCACAGATCAACTACTCTGAGCTCCGCTGATATAGTCTAGTGAGTGATGAGTGTTAAAAGCCCCAATCCTTAATTAATGAAGAATGTACAATGTACTGTATATCCTCAAGAGTAAATGTGTGTAAATCATTCATTGAAATAATAGTAAATATTGCAGATTGCACCTTTAAGTGAGTCATTGAGTGTATCCCGTATCTCGTCTCAGAGTTTGTGTTAGTTCATCTGTTAATGACTAACACGATGAAGTGCATAGTAAGTGACTGATTGAGTGTATCCCATGTTTATCTCTCTCCATCTCTGGTCCCTCCTGATTGAGTGTATCCCATGTGCATCTCTCTCCATCTCTGGTCCCTCCTGATTGAGTGTATCCCATGTGCATCTCTCTCTCTCTCTCTCTCTCTCTCTCTCTCTCTCTCTCTCTCTCTCTCTCTCTCTCTCTCTCTCTCTCTCTCTCTCTCTCTCTCTCTCTCTCTCTCTCTCTCTCGTCAGAGTGTGTGTTTGTTTAAACCGACGGGGACTAAGGACGGTCTTCTCATCCCAGCTGGCCCCATCATGTTTGGGACCACCATCGCCGCACACGTCGCCACAACACGCAAAACACTGCTAGTGGAGGACATCACAGGGGTGAGATTCAGCATATTATAAATATACTTAACTATAACCCAAAACACTGCTAGTGGAGGACATCACAGGGGTGAGATTCAGCATATTATAAATATACTTAACTATAACCCAAAACACTGCTAGGGGAGGACATCACAGGGGTGAGATTCAGCATATTATAAATATACCTAACCCTAACCCAAAAACCCTAACCCTAATGCAGGATAAATCAAACTTCCCAAAGTATTTGGTTATATTTCAAATGCTTTGACCTCATAACACCTGACTGGGTGTGCAGGATATTCAGGGATTCCGACTCAGGGATTCCGACTCAGGGATTCCGACTCAGGGATTCCGACTCAGGGATTCCGACTCAGGGATTCATGTTCACTCTGTCCTTTGCCTTCTCTTCCTCATTACCTTTAACACCTGCCCCCTAACCTCTGACCTTTAGAGTCTAATCTCGCTCTCTCTCTCTCCAGGACCAGCGTTTCCCAGAAGGCACAGGACAGGACTCAGACTCAGGGATTCATGTTCACTCTGTCCTGTGCCTGCCCATCCTCACTGCCATCGGTGACCTCATAGCTATCCTGGAGCTGCATCGGCACTGTGGCCACGAGCCCTTCAATACCAGCAACCAGGAGGTACAAGCACACAAACACGCACAGACACACAAACACGCACAGACACACAAACACGCACAGACACACAAACACGAACCTGTAGTGGAACAGGTTGAGAGCTTCAAGTTCCTTGGTGTCCACGTCACCAACAAACTATCATGGTCCAAACGCACCAAGACAGTCGTGAAGAGGGCACGACAAAGCCTATTCCCCCTCAGGAGACTGAAAAGATTTGGCATGGGTCCTCAGATCCTCAACAAGTTCTACAGCTGCACCATCGAGGGCATCTTGACTGGTTGCATCACCGCCTGGTATGGCAACTGCTCGGCCTCCAGAGGGTAGTGCGTACGGCCCAGTACATCACTGGTGCCAAGCTTCCTGCCATCCAGGACCTCTATACCAGGCGGTGTCAGAGGAAGCCACCCTAGTCATAGACTGTTCTCTCTGCTACCGCACGGCAAGCGGTACCGGAGCACCAAGTCTAGGTCCAAAAGGCTTCTAAACAGCTTCTACCCCCAAGCCATAAGACTCCTGAACAGCTAATCATGGCTGCCCAGACTATTTGCATTGTCCCCCCACCCCACCACACCCCACCACCCCACCCCACCCCCCCTTTTTTTTACGCTTCTGCTACTCTCTGTTTATTATCTATGCATAGTCACTTTAACTCTATCCACATGTACATATTACCTAAATTGACTCTGTACCAGTACCCCCTGTATATAGCCTCCCTACTGTTATTTTATTTTACTGCTGCTCTTTAATTATTTGTTATTTAAATGTTTAACTTATCTATTTCTTTACTTAACACTTATTTTTCTTTAAACTGCATTGTTGGTTAAGGGCTTGTAAGTATGCAAGTAAGTAAGGGCTACACCTGTTGTATTCGGCGCGTGTGGCAGTTTGATTTGATTGGATTTGAACACACGCTGGCATGCACGCACAGACACACACACACACACACACCAAGCCTGTCTGTGTAAATGGAGCATTTGACTGTCGAGGGCTAAGCAACGACTTCCTGTAGTAGCTCCATTAGGACTTCATAAGGAGAGCAGCAGCCAGACCCCGAGGAACCAGCCCAAGGTTTTGGAACTCTGATATTAGCTGCTAACGAGCCAATCATAGACATGTAGACATGTATAGATGACAGGCACTGAGGGGTTAGCTATTAGATTACCCAGCGGGACAAGATGGTTGTAATGACGTGATAAGAACGTCAATGTATTCTCGTTGTAATGACGTCTTTTCAACCAGTTTTGCCTACTGGGATATTACGTACCAGGCATTATTGGAGAGGGCATTAGGTTGGATAAACACACAGGATGAGGAAACGCGTGGAATACTGAGAATACTCATTATATGATGAATGCTATCCATATTCATATGATAGTCCAGTTTATGTGTATATTAATGAATATCCCTACTGTCAAATATAAAAACATGTTACCCAACATTTCTAGAACATGGAACTGTTATTTTTTTAAATAAAAAAAAATATATGCTAAATGTTTGTGATGCTATGTTTTTTAATCTATCTGCCCAGATGAAATCTGGCACATATACAGAAATGTTAATTGATGTGCATTGTCCCCTTTTTTTTTTAAAGGTCGCAACGGCGAGTTTAGCATGGGCATCTGTAGCTATTCACCAAGTACAGGTGAGCATTGGATTATTTAACTTATTTTTTCATCAGACAGTTAAGAAATGTCTCCGTATGTGATGTCTCAGGTGTATTTGGTTACAAATGCTTGATAATACTCTTGATAAATGCTTGATAACACACTCTTGATAAATGCTTGATAACACACACTTGATAAATGCTTGATAACACACTCTTGATAAATGCTTGATAACACACTCTTGATAAATGCTTGATAACACACTCTTGATAAATGCTTGATAACACACACTTGATAAATGCTTGATAACACACTCTTGATAAATGCTTGATAACACACTCTTGATAAATGCTTGATAACACACTCTTGATAAATGCTTGATAACACACTCTTGATAAACGCTTGATAACACACTCTTGATAAATGCTTGATAACACACTCTTGATAAATGCTTGATAACACACACTTGATAAATGCTTGATAACACACTCTTGATAAATGCTTGATAACACACTCTTGATAAATGCTTGAAAACACACACTTGATAAATGCTTGATAACACACTCTTGATAAATGTTTGATAACACACTCTTGATAAATGCTTGATAACACACTCTTGATAAATGCTTGATAACACACTCTTGATAAATGCTTGATAACACACTCTTGATAAATGCTTGATAACACACACTTGATAAATGCTTGATAACACACTCTTGATAAATGCTTGATAACACACTCTTGATAAATGCTTGATAACACACTTTTGATAAACGCTTGATAACACACTCTTGATAAATGCTTGATAACACACTCTTGATAAATGCTTGATAACACACTCTTGATAAACGCTTGATAACACACTCTTGATAAACGCTTGATAACACACTCTTGATAAATGCTTGCTGTGAACATAATGGCCTACTGTTGTGCTTCAACACTTAATTGGCTCAGATAATGCTCATAGTACAATTACATATGTGTGTTTTATCCCGGTTGTGTTCTCATGATGGTGTTTGTGTGGAGCAGAACTCCACTGTGACTGGGTTACCGGTAGGTCTCAGTCTAATCAACCCTAAAGCCTTCTAGACTTGGCCCCCCCAAAGGGACGTCATTATGGGCCTGTGGATCCTTGTTGTTTGTACCACAGTGCGTCTCTCTCAATTTGTCTGTCCTATGTTCTTCTGTCCTTTCCCCGGGAAAAAATTTTTGTTAAAACAAATTTGGCTTGAAAAATTTAAATTTTTTCCTTTGAAATTTAAAAATTGGCTTGATCCCACCCCTTTTTTCTTGATCAATTGCTTGATAAACCCCCAAAGCAAACCCTTTTGATAAATTTTTTTTTTTTTTTTTTTTTTTTTTTTTTTTTTTTTTTTTTTTTTTTTTTTTTTTTTTTTTTTTTTTTTTTTTTTTTTTTTTTTTCCCCCCCCCCCCCCCCCCCCCCCCCCCCCCCCCCCCCCCCCCCCCCCCCCCCCCCCCCCCTTTTTTGGTTTCCCCCTTTTAAAAATTTGGCCCCAGAAAAATGCTGATAAAAAAGGAACTTTGGTTTTTAACCCCGGTTGGTTTCCAATTTGTTGTTAAACAAACCCCCTTGATGGGTTTAAAACCACCGGGAAAATGTTTAAAAATTTTAAAACCAAACCCTCAAACCCTTTTCAATTTTGGAAAAAAGGCTTTTAACCCACCTTGTTTTTGAAAACCACACTTCTTAAATTTTCTTTGTCCTCTTGTTTTTCTCCCTTCCGAAAAACCTTGTAAACCCTTGTAACAACTTTTAAAAAATTTTGTAACAACCTCGTTAAGGCGATAAAAATTTGAAATTGTTAAAAAAATTTTGAAAATGTAAAACCCTTTGTTGTTTTACCCCATTGTAAACCCTTGAAACAATTTTGATAAATGTTTTCCCAATTTTAAAAAAGTTAAAACGTCCTTTGTTCCAATCCCCTATAAAGTTTCAAAAATCGTTAAAGGGTTTTTCCATTTAAAAAGTGTCAAGGAAAAACGTTTTATCCCTTTCCTTAAAAAAAGTGTCAAATCCCCTCTGTTTGTGTTCAAACACTTAAAGGGCCGAAATCTAAACTTAAAATTTTTTTTTCCGTTGGTTTTTTGTTTGTTCAAAATTGCTTTCCTTGGTCTCCCCAAAATTGGCCGTCAAGCTTGGGGAAAACCCCCCCGCTTTTTCCCTTTATCCTTTTTTTCCACTTCCCTCTCCCCCCTTAAAATTCCTTTCCCCTTTGGTTTTTCTGCCCTTAATGAAACCTGCTTTTCCCTAAAAAAGGGCAAAAATAACACTCGTTTTAATTTTTTGGCTAAAACACCTATTTTTGGGTTTACCCCTGGCGGGGGCCTACCAAACAGTGAATCAAATTTCCTCTAAAGGCCAAAAAAGTCGGGCCAAAGGGGGCCCCCATGAATTAAAAAAATTTTTAAGACCCAGGTTCAAAAACCTGTTTCTAAGGGTTTCCCTCCTGGGGTTTTCCCCCAGCCCCCTTTTCCTTGGAAGGGACCCTCCGAGGTTTTCAATTTATCCCTTTTTGGGGGGTTTCCCTCCTTGTTTTATCCAGCCCTTTTCCTGGGGGCCCCTCCTTGGGGTAGGTTTTTCAAAACTCCTCCCTGTTCCTAAAAAGGCCCACCCTCCCTCCGAATTTTCCCTTCCTCCCCCCCTTTTGTTAAAAAAGGGCAAAACCCCTCCTGAATTTTTAAAAATTCCAACACCATTTAAAATTTTTTAACCTAGGTTTACAAACCAGCTTAATTTTAAAATTAGCCCCGGGGGTGGCAAATTTAAAAGGGGTGGATGAAAAAAAAATACCCTTAAAATTTTCCCTTTACTACCCTTTCCTTATTTCCCCCCCCTTTTTCCCTATCTTACCCTTTTTTTCCAATCCCCCCTTTCCCTTTTAAAACCCTCCCTGATTTTCAACAAAAAACCCTTTCCCTTCAAAACCCTTTTAAGGTTTTCCTTTTTCCCAACTACCCCTTTCCCTTCCCATACCCTTTTTTTAAACTTTTCCCAACCTATACCCTTTCCTATCCCCCCTTTAATTTCACAAACCCCCCTTTAAATTAAACCCTTTATTTAAACCCCCTTATCAACCACAAATTTCTTATAATTTATTAGCAAAATAAATACCCTTAAAAATCATCCCCCTTATCAATAAATAAAAACCCCTTATAATTAAAACCCTTATCTTTTCCCCTTTACCCTTATAAATTTTCCTTATATCCCTTATCATTAAATCCCTTATCTCATCAATACCCTTATCTTAAATTCCCCCTTAAAAATCCTTATATACCCTTATAAAATTTCATAAAACCCTTATCATTAAATACCCTTATAAATCTAAATCCCCTTTAAAATCAAAAATTAAACCCTAACCCTTTCAACATAAATTTTCCTTATAAATTCATCCCCTTTATAAACCATCCCCTTTTATCATCATACCCTTATAAATTAAAACCCTTTATAAATTCTTTTACCCCTTTAAATTTCATAAATTCCCTTATAAATCATCATACCCTTTCATTAAATCCCCTTTAAATAACCCATCATACCCTTATAAATTAAATACCCTTAAAAAAAAATCTATAACCCCTTTTCCCCCAATCTAAAACCCTTAAAAACAAAACCAAAAAACCCTTTTTATCATTCTCCCCTTATAAATCATCATTACCCTTATAAATCTAAAAATTTCCATCTCTATTCCTTACAATCATCAATCCCTTATCTTCATACCCTTATAAAATTCTTTCCAAAAACCCTTATAAATTCCCCCCCTTATCAACCCATAAATTCCCCTTTTAAAATCATATAACCCTTTAAAATCATAAATTCCCCTTAATAAATCACATCCCCTTTACTTTCTAAAACCCCTTTAACAATCATCATTCTTATAAAATCACAACCCTTATAAATTCATACCCTTACAACATAAATTCCCTTTTAAATCAATCATCTTACCTTTAAATAAATTCTTTCTACCCTTACTTAAAAAATCATACCCTTATAAATCCCCCTTTAAATTAACCCCCTTATCAATAAATCATCCCCCTTACCCAATCTCAATCCCCTTTAAAAATCATATAAAACCCTTTAAATTTAAATTTTCCCTTATCAATCACCCAATCCCTTTTTCTTCATACCCTTATCAACCATAAAAACCTTCTTTCAATCTCCCTTCCCCCAATCATCTTTCCCATATTTTTTTTAATCAACAAAAACCCCCTTTAAACAATCCCCCAATCCCCTTTATCATTCATCCCCTTTAAAACCCCATTCATATCCCTTATCTTTCCCTTATCATTAAATACCCTTATAAATTCAATCCCCTTTAAAAACATTTTCCCCTTAAAATTTCAAACCCTTAAATCACCATACCCTTATAAATTCAATGCCCCTTATAAACCATCAAACCTTTTATTCTTTAACCCTTAAAATTTTAAATTAATAACCTTTAATTAAAAAACCCCTTATCACCCATCCCCCTTATTCAACCCTTATTACCCTTTAAATTTCCTTCCCTTCTCTTTCTAAAAAACCCCTTACTTTACCCTTTAAATTAATTCCCCTTTATTAAACCCCATTTTTAACCACCCCCTTAAATCTTCCACTTACTTCCCCCTTTTTTTGCCTTTTTCCCCTTTCTACCCAACCCTTTCTCTTACCCCCTTAGATTACCCCACCCCCTTTTTCCCAAACCGGTTTTGACCCAGGGCCCTGCCATTAAAATAAATGGCCCCCGGTTTTTTTTGGGGCACAAATTTTTTTGTGTTTTTTTCCCCATTGGTAGAGGATCCAACATAAATTTCCTTTTTCCCCCAAAATTTCCCCCGGTTTCCCCTGGAATGTCATGGGGGCAGGGGAGGGTGGGTTGTTTTTTGGGGGGGGACTACGGGATTTTGGTATTGCCATTGGCCACTTGGGGGTCATCCCCTTTCCCAATATGTTCAAAACCGGGTTTTTGATTTTTTTTTCCTGTTTTTAAATGTAACTTCAATTTTGTTTTCCCTTTCTAACTGTACTGTATAAATACCATT